TATATATATATATATATATATATTTGTAATTTACGTCGAATTGATTCCAATATTCAAATATTAAATTCATGAAAAACATCTTAACTCTCTCAATTATATATGATTGTATGTATAATAATCTTGTTTCATAATATTAATTATAGTTATGTTGTGATATATTTATGACATGATAATTTAATAAAAAATTATATTTTTAGATGTTTTTTTTATAAGATTAGTATGCTTTATTTGGATTTATAAATGAATGACATAATAAATGGATATTTTAAAAAATTAAGAATTTTTATGGTTTTTAAAATATATGGTTATTTAAATTTATAGTTAATTCAGATTTTAAATAGATATATTTTAAAATTGAAGGTTTTTCTTTCTCCTAATATTTATTATTGCAACAAAGCTAATAGAAGGTTTGATCACATTTTTATGGGTTTTAATATTTATCAAGTAAATTATTAACAGAGAAACTAATGGGCCTTGTTTTATGTACATTATATATATATAAAAAAACCAAGGCCCATTACTTTTCTATGTCTAATAATTTACTTGATAAATATTATAACCCATAAAAATGTGATTCCGTTTATAAAAAAAAAATAGAAAAATCATTTTAAAATATGTGCTTACCGAATGTTGTAATTTGTTGTGAAACTATGTTTCCCTTATTCTTTACCGAGAGCTCTCAGTTTCTTACAACAAATCCTATCGTTGATATATTTTGCTATTTCATATTTATTTGAGATGGATATTATCTTTATAAATTTGAACTTGAAATCTGATATCAATAATTACAATTATAATTAATCTATTCGAATTTCAATCTCATATAAATTCAAACGACCACAGATTCGTACAATTACGTGTTCAAGACAAAAAAATTTGACCCTATTCACAACCAAATACATGCGTTCACTCAAGAGACGGTAACCGAACCGTGTAATTGGTTAAAAAGTGTAAATGTGCTCTTGTCCCAAATTTCATGTTCGAGCCGTGGATTGGGAACAGAGATCTGCATTTACTGCATTTACGATATACAGACTGGTTTCAGATTTTGAGAGATGTAGTCGGGATAAAGATTTGAGAAATTTTAGTTATCATAAAAAAAAATACTTGGGCTCTTTATTAGTCTACTATAAATTCCAGAATTCTTGGAGAGTTCTTCGAAGAAGAATAAAACAGAGTACAATTCGACGGTTGAGGCTAAACCAGACCGGAATCCGGTTTTCTTCGGTTTACTCCTCACGTCACGTCCACGGAATATTACTATTCTACCATCAAAGGAACTCTGATTCGCTCCGCTGAGACCAAAACATGAAGATGACCAAAAACACGCCCGAAGCCTTAGTTCCGTTGGGAGTCTCTTGAAGCCTCCAGTTCAGCAAGCAGCTTTCCCTGTGTCCTTTGCACTCGCGCTAGCATATCAAACAATTTTCTTTGAATCATTATTAATTTTCTCTAAATGTTATACCAACAAAATCCTTCTTCAAATGATTTGTTTAAATGTATCCTATTCCTATGCACTCACTAAATTTATATTTTAGTAATGTATATTTGATATTTTATATGAATCGAATTCTGTGTATAAATGATATTGATTATAATTCAATTTAATTGTAATTGAATTCAATTTTAACATCGAAATAGAAATAAATGGATATATATTTAAAAAAACTGAAACAATCCAACTACAAAATAATGATTAAAAAATAATTAAATCCTAAATATTGGATTTAACTTCTAATTATAATACCATATACGTCCAAAATACCCGAAATCATCCCCACTTACTTTTAGGATCCGAAATGCTCCTCCTAAGGTTAATCAAAATCTGAAATCTTCGGCTCGCCCGAAAATTACTTCCGATCTCATAGCTGACGAGCTCTCCACCGCCGCCGCCGCCGCCGCCTTATCTTTCCGATTCTCATGTATTCACGCCCTCTCTCTCTCTCGGTTCTTTCCCACACCTACAGAAGGAAAACCTTTTGGTTTCTGCCCAGCTTTGTCCGCGAGGAATTATGGATTTGTCTGAGAAACCCATTGCCCCTTTGGTTCTTTTAGGGTTTTATTCTGGGGTTCCATTTTCATATATCTTTCCGTTTGTCTACTAAGAATTTTCAATTTTGGAATAGAGAAGAAACTTTGTCGATAGTTTTCATTTGTCTGCTTAATACTGTGAGAATTAGGCTTTTCTGTCCGATTTCCTAGGATGGGGAAGTTCCAGTTAGTTTCTAGGACTTGGCCAAGTGGCCATTGCATAGAAACTGCGCTTCGAGATTTTGCTTGATTTCTTCTGGCTTTCTCTGTCTCCACTTAATTCAGCAACATTATGTAGTTATGTTCTTCATCCTATGTGACATTGGGCTTTTTTTCGATTATATGTACACTGCATAGATTCGGGATTTTGGTGAAATGGAGACAACACAGCAGTCAAATATGCTTCCCGAAGTTGATTCCCTGCCCGATGGATTTGTGGATGGTGCTGTGGAACCGTCCAATACTCGGCAGCAGGAGAAGCATATTAATGGGGCTAAGGAAGAAGATTGTATCACCGACTCTGATACAAAAACTCGTGAGATTCCGAGTGACGCAGACCCTAGTTGTGCGTCTGAGAAAACAGAGAAACCGAGGACTTTTCCTGTTCCATTGTGTGAAACTGATGGTAACGATGGGGCAGAGGACCTGATTAAGGTGTTGACCAAGCTCAACGTAGAGCCGAAAGAAGATCCTCCTGTTCAATCGAATTGCCAAACATGTGAGAGAACTAACAAATTTTCGTTCCTGGGTTTGTTTTCTTTCTCCCTGTTGTATGCATTTGGTGCTCATATTCTAACCCCTGTCTTCTTTGTTGATGACTTAGTATCGCAAGGACCAGATGCAAGTCCACCCTTGTCGAAAGAAGAGGCTTCATCCGAGACAATGGATTCAGTCAAACCCAGAAAACAAGTTAGTATTGGGTTAAGGTTTCGCACATGTTTCTCTTGTTCCTTTTCACATTAAATGGAGTAGGTCTCACACTTGTTGGTTGACTGAACTTATAATCCGATAACGGTGATCAAATTCTCTGGATTTTACCTTTTCATGTACTTCGGCATCTTGGTTTCATACAAAAATAAACTGCCATGTCATCTATGTTGTACCTAAGTTGCAGATGTCAGATGAAAAGAAGGCTTTAAACCCGAGAATAGTTGTGCATGTCTTTTACATGCCAATATCTTTATTTAGAATGTAATTATGTAACTCTAGTCAGGATAATAGGACATCTTTTGAAATTTTGAATTTCAGTTGAGCTTACTATTTTTGTGTGTATCATTGAATGTCTTCTCTGTTGATTGTTCCTTTTGAGAACAAAATATGAATTAGTTGTAGGAGATGCTTCTTTTGACTTCTGCTAGCATGAAATGCAGGAAGCAACTGAGACAAAGCGTAAGGGTTCAAAGAATACCTTCAAAACAGAAAAAGAATTTCTGGAATTCATGCTGAAGTACCAACAAGTCCTATCCGAGCGAGATTCTGGTAATTGGAAATCAGCTGTTGCTTTTGCATCCCTGTAATCATTTTTAAGTCGATAAATTACTTGTCATCTGCAACGATGGCTGGCCATAAGTTCCCTTTTTTCCTTTTCCATTTTTTCTTGTGTAGCTATTGCTGTTCGGGAAAAGCTCGAATCACTGTGTAGGGAGTTGCAACGCCAGAACAAAATGTTGATGGTATGGTCTTTTTTGCTTAGTCTGCGCTTTACATTGTGTCTTCTAGAAAGCTAAACAAGCAATTTTTTGTTCTCCTTTGGGAAACTAACCTTTACTTGTTTTATACACCGGTCGGTTGTTCTTTGTAATCTGTCAGGACGAATGCAAACATGTGTCAACTGAGGGACAAAGCTTAAGACTCGAATTATCAACGAAATTCCAGGATGCAATAAAGGTAATTTAGCACTTCTTTCAATGTGGAATATGTTAAGGCCTTCTATCTTTTCTGCATGAGGAGCAAGACTGTAGTGCTTCCTGTATCGTCTTGTTCAAGGAGGTCCAAACTGTTCTATGTTTCTTCATACTACGTTACTAAGCGAGTAAATCCTGAATGCAGTCTAGTTCTAGATTTCTTCTATTTTTCCTTCAAACTTTAGAGATACCTGTTAAAAGCAAATTTTGTTTTCCTCGAAACCTTTAATTCCTAATCTTTCTCTACACTATTTTCTACCTTACCAATTTTTTCTTTGATTGTAGGATGTAAGCGTTAGGCTGGACGAACAGAAGAATGAATGTCTCTCACAGCTGAAGGAAAATGAGATGTAAGTCAAAGGGAGCTCGATTATAACTTTTCCTTTCTTTTATTTTCGACGACGCACGACAGGTCACCTTTAATTTATAAGTACATTTATATTTGGAGTGAGTTGATCAACATGAATTCGAGTGCACGTCCTCGAGGTTTCTTAGAGTCTGCTTTTTGAACGATTCATGACATTATGTAATTGTTATCTGTAATGGTACAAGCTTAAAAGAGCTTAGCTTCTGTTGTGCTAACGTATCTAGAACCTTCAGTGTTTTCGAGTGTTTTATAATTTTTTTTATGTTCCTGAATGTTCAGGTTGAGGACAAAATTGACGCAGCTAGCTGATCAATATACCCGTTCGGAACAGCAATATGAAACAAAAGTATGGTTGTTTTTCCAAGTGGCTTCCAGGCAGCTTGCCAAAATGCAAATTTTGCCTTAGTTTTGATGTCCTATCTTTTGACTGAACAGTTGAAGCAGAAAACACTTGAGCTACAGATTGCCGAAGTAAAAATCAAACAGCACGAGGAAAAACTGATCCACGAAAAATCTGAGATGAAAGTGTATGCGGAACAGGTCTCACAGCTCTTGGCAACTGAGAAAAATTTGCGGTTGCAACTTACGGCAGACGGAGAAAAATTCCAGCAGTTCCAGGTCTGTTGTGTTCCTCATTATGATGCCGGTGACTTCTTTGTCATCTTCTCGATTGAGGAATATATAATATCGGTTTAGTACTTCTGGTGATGTTGTGTGGCAAATAACAAAATCAAATGTGACGACGATGCAGGATGCTTTGGTGAAGAGCAATGAGGTGTTTGAAACATTTAAACAAGAGATCGAGAAGGTAGATTATGTCTTACTCTTTCATCCATGACCCAGAATCTGTATAGCTTGTTTAGATCTAACTGGTGGATCCTTGATGTTTTTTTCGGATAGATGTCAAAATCCATCAAAGAGCTTAGAAAAGAAAACGCATTCTTGAAGAGCAAATGTGAGAAGTCGGATGTTACTCTGATTGAACTCGTTGAAGAGGTAAGAAGAAAAGTTGATGATTCACCAATGCATGGGTTGCTCTATCGATTATACGCATGCCCAAGTTTACAGCCAAGCGCTCTTTCGTTTGATTGATCAGCGTGAAAGATTGAAGAAACAGTTGGAAAAGACAAAGAACCAGAAAGAGAAGCTTGAGTCACTCTGCCGATCCCTTCAAGCGGAAAGGAAGCAGAAAGAAAGTACAGGTTGCGGCACGCCTCAACCTGAGGCGGAGTAGATCCGGTCTCCATTCCACCTCTAAAGCTAAGGCGGGCTTTTCTCCCTCTCCCCGGTCAGTTTTGTCGGATGATGTCCTTGAAATGTCTCCGTCTCTATCTAAACCATGGTTTGAGAAAACAGACAAGGGGTAACGGTGATAATTCAAAGATTCAGAAACAGCTCAACGGGAAGCTTTTTCCCAGTCGCCGAAAGGCCTTTTTTTTATGGTAGTAAATGAAAGGTATCGTATCTATCGTGGCCGGGATTCTCTGCCATTAGCTATATATATATATATATCTTTCTACACAGATAGATACATCGCGTGGATGACAGTTTCGAAACATGAAAACCCGTTGGTTTCGTCTTGTTCAAGGAGGTCCAAACTGTTCTATGTTTCTTCATACTACGTTACTAAGCGAGTAAATCCTGAATGCAGTCTAGTTCTAGATTTCTTCTATTTTTCCTTCAAACTTTAGAGATACCTGTTAAAAGCAAATTTTGTTTTCCTCGAAACCTTTAATTCCTAATCTTTCTCTACACTATTTTCTACCTTACCAATTTTTTCTTTGATTGTAGGATGTAAGCGTTAGGCTGGACGAACAGAAGAATGAATGTCTCTCACAGCTGAAGGAAAATGAGATGTAAGTCAAAGGGAGCTCGATTATAACTTTTCCTTTCTTTTATTTTCGACGACGCACGACAGGTCACCTTTAATTTATAAGTACATTTATATTTGGAGTGAGTTGATCAACATGAATTCGAGTGCACGTCCTCGAGGTTTCTTAGAGTCTGCTTTTTGAACGATTCATGACATTATGTAATTGTTATCTGTAATGGTACAAGCTTAAAAGAGCTTAGCTTCTGTTGTGCTAACGTATCTAGAACCTTCAGTGTTTTCGAGTGTTTTATAATTTTTTTTATGTTCCTGAATGTTCAGGTTGAGGACAAAATTGACGCAGCTAGCTGATCAATATACCCGTTCGGAACAGCAATATGAAACAAAAGTATGGTTGTTTTTCCAAGTGGCTTCCAGGCAGCTTGCCAAAATGCAAATTTTGCCTTAGTTTTGATGTCCTATCTTTTGACTGAACAGTTGAAGCAGAAAACACTTGAGCTACAGATTGCCGAAGTAAAAATCAAACAGCACGAGGAAAAACTGATCCACGAAAAATCTGAGATGAAAGTGTATGCGGAACAGGTCTCACAGCTCTTGGCAACTGAGAAAAATTTGCGGTTGCAACTTACGGCAGACGGAGAAAAATTCCAGCAGTTCCAGGTCTGTTGTGTTCCTCATTATGATGCCGGTGACTTCTTTGTCATCTTCTCGATTGAGGAATATATAATATCGGTTTAGTACTTCTGGTGATGTTGTGTGGCAAATAACAAAATCAAATGTGACGACGATGCAGGATGCTTTGGTGAAGAGCAATGAGGTGTTTGAAACATTTAAACAAGAGATCGAGAAGGTAGATTATGTCTTACTCTTTCATCCATGACCCAGAATCTGTATAGCTTGTTTAGATCTAACTGGTGGATCCTTGATGTTTTTTTCGGATAGATGTCAAAATCCATCAAAGAGCTTAGAAAAGAAAACGCATTCTTGAAGAGCAAATGTGAGAAGTCGGATGTTACTCTGATTGAACTCGTTGAAGAGGTAAGAAGAAAAGTTGATGATTCACCAATGCATGGGTTGCTCTATCGATTATACGCATGCCCAAGTTTACAGCCAAGCGCTCTTTCGTTTGATTGATCAGCGTGAAAGATTGAAGAAACAGTTGGAAAAGACAAAGAACCAGAAAGAGAAGCTTGAGTCACTCTGCCGATCCCTTCAAGCGGAAAGGAAGCAGAAAGAAAGTACAGGTTGCGGCACGCCTCAACCTGAGGCGGAGTAGATCCGGTCTCCATTCCACCTCTAAAGCTAAGGCGGGCTTTTCTCCCTCTCCCCGGTCAGTTTTGTCGGATGATGTCCTTGAAATGTCTCCGTCTCTATCTAAACCATGGTTTGAGAAAACAGACAAGGGGTAACGGTGATAATTCAAAGATTCAGAAACAGCTCAACGGGAAGCTTTTTCCCAGTCGCCGAAAGGCCTTTTTTTTATGGTAGTAAATGAAAGGTATCGTATCTATCGTGGCCGGGATTCTCTGCCATTAGCTATATATATATATATATCTTTCTACACAGATAGATACATCGCGTGGATGACAGTTTCGAAACATGAAAACCCGTTGGTTGGATGCGTGTGTTCTTTTCCCCAATTATAAAACTTCAGTAGAAAATCAATAGCTAATTGGATAAATATTATCATTTTTAAGAAATAAAAAAATCAATGATGACATTTTCTTCGTCTTCTGGTGCATTAACTAAGAAACTTCATCTATAGGAATAGAAGTTGAAACTGTTTGATATTTTCTTTCCGTGCCGCTATAAATTATTGAAAATATAACCCAAATTTGGATGGTATAGTGGTAAAAAATATATGTAAATCGTACTTTCATTCCGGTTTAAATCCAAACGTAGAAATAGAATGACGGCATCCATCGTTCCATTTACATCAAAGTAGGTTGAGGTTTCCGTCTCTTAATGGGTCTTCTAGAATGCCCACGTGATACTTGATTTTTTTGGCTCAATTATTTTAGGTTACTGTAATTTAATAATTATATACATTCAATTGATTAAAATTCCGTCAAATTTAGCTTTTATTAAAAATATTTATTTTGTAAAAAAATCTTTCTATTACAATTTTTGAAAATCAATTCGGTTTGATTTTAAAATAATCATATACAATATAGTTTATGCCGAAATATTCATAACTTGAAATCGATAATTTAAAAATCGTATTGGTAGAGTTTGGAGGTGAATGATCTCCTTTAATTTACGGTTTACCCAATAGGAAAAGGGAGCACGGAAGAGAAGAATATGCAAAGTAAAAGCTTTGACGATTTGTTTGACAATTATTGGTGTTCAATTTAAAATTTTAAAATAAAAATAAAAATAAAAGATCACATTGTCAAAGGAAGACGCCCGCTCTCTCTGACCAGAGAGGCAAAGGGAGAAGCGCGTGGCGACCACGACGGTAGCTAACCTGTTCGACTAAATTCCCCAGTTGTCATAAACAAGCCAAAATCATTTCCCATCCTCTTCACATTCTCATCTACTCCCCTCTCTCTCTCTCTCTCTGAACCTTTTCACCATATTTCTCTCTGCCTTTGTTCTCAAGGTATCCTCGATCTCTGCCGTTCTTCACTCCTTTTTTTTTTTTTGGTTTCTTGATCGGTATGTTGTATGATTCGCGATTGTCTGTTCTTTTCTCGATTTCTTAGATGTTTGGTTTTGTACGATCTGATGTATTACCTGCGTTGGGATTGACTCTAGGGCATATTGTTCTCTCTTCTTTGTTTTTTGTTTGTGGGTAAAATCTGGGTTGTATTGTATATCTCTCTGTCGTTTTCATATGAAATCATCGTGTTTATTTTCATGAATTTCATTTTTTTTGGCTCTCGCCTCTGTGATTTTCCTTCTGGGTTCGTTAGACTTGATCTTATCGGTCCTTAGTTTTGATGGGCTTGTCTGTGTATGCTTCGTGTGCGTGATTGATTTAAGATTTTTGCAGTTATGATCATGCTTTATGATGATCCCAGAATAGATGGAGTGAGCTGTGATTCTTTGATTCTGTGACTTTTGATTCAGAACAAATGGAGAGAGCTGTAAATGTAAAAATTTTGTACCAAATTTTGGTATTTGTTCCCTTTTTCTTCTGGGTGCATGGTATTAGATACCAAACAAAATAATTAGGTTTTAGGTCCTTCATTGTGCCTTGTGAATTCTGTGACATATAGGTATTAAGGGATCTGGAACCGGGTAGGATGTTCTTTGAGCAGACAGCTTTTCTGAACAGATGCTTATGCTAAGTCTTTATCAATCATGGCACAGATCTTTGCGAATGATAATAATCGGTAGGATTCGGATCACATCTATGTTGGGATGCAGGAACGTGTTATTGGGTGTTAAGGTGATTTCGGGTTTGAAGTTGACCTCGGATTTTAGCGGTCTGAGGTTTAGTTTCTGTGGAGTTTTTTCGGGATTGTTTTGACACAACTTTGTGTTTCTCTGTGTGACCTTTTGTTGTGAATAGGTTTCTGTTTCGATCAACCACCGCAATGGATTATACTTTTGGAGGCCTGAATGAAGATCCTACGCCTTCTCAACTGGACATTCTCCGGTGCCCATTCTTGAGGAACATCAATGAGCCCACTAATTTCTCGTTTTCTTCATCCCTTCCTCTTCCCATGCCTGTAAGTAATCGTTTGACTTGCCACTGATCCAATTCATCAACTGCATTATCTCCTGCTAATTGACTTGTGAGTTCTGACTTTCATTTCTTCAGGTACGAACAGGGAAAGGGCCAATTTTTGAAGATGGACCTAATTTTGATATGGCCTTTAGGCTTTTCCATGGGCGTGATGGAGTAGTCCCGCTCTCGTCGGAGACAGAGAAGCCTGTGCTTTCCCCTCCTGTATTCCATCCTCTTGCTGCAAAGGCAGCAACAATTAGTCTTTCATCATTTGGACCTGGAGGACCCTTTGGTTTTGATGCATTTTCTGAGATGTGGAAAAAGCAAAAGAAAATATCAGAATCATCCAAGAAGAAGGATTCCTCTTCCAAGGTAAAAGATTATGTCCTTGCTCCGTATGTTTTTCTAGGCAGTGGGGGAAACTGAAGAAAGTTCTAAGGAAAAAGCTTATATTGACAGCTCTTTGCCCCTTAATTTCTCAGTGGAAGAAAGCTTTTCCTGCTTTCATTTAAGCATCTTAGCTTATATCTCTTGTTGCTCTTTCAGGGTGGTAACTCAAACCACGAATCTATGAGCAACGAATGGCTTCAAACAGGAAACTGCCCTATCGCAAAGTCATACCGAGCTGTCAGTGGGGTGCTACCGCTTGTTGCAAAGGTTTTGCAGCCTCCTCCAGGCATGAAACTGAGTTGCCCACCGGCAATAGTCACAGCCCGAGCGGCCCTTTCAAAGACCGCTTTCGCAAAGAACCTCAGACCGCAGCCCTTGCCAGCCAAAATACTTGTCATCGGAATGATGGGCATGGCACTGAACGTGCCTCTAGGCGTATGGAGAGAGCACACGGAAAAGTTCTCACCGTCCTGGTTTGTGGCCGTACATGCAGCTGTTCCATTCATAGCTATACTGAGGAAGTCGGTATTGATGCCGAAAACTGCAATGGCGTTTACCATAGCAGCGTCGGTGTTGGGGCAAGTGATAGGATCAAGGGCAGAGAGGCAACGGCTCAGGTCGGTGACCGAGAAGAAGAAACTGACAGTGGGAACTACTGACCTGCAAGTTGTCGGAGTTTCAGACGGAAACTGCAGCTCCAACGCCTTGAAATGGAACCCGATGTCCCTCGAAACCATTGCTAGTTCTTCGTCGGCAGCCGATGTGGTCTGCTAAATGATTTTTCCCCCTCATCGTTGAGCCAATATGCATGTTCTTTTTTTTTTTCGTTTCGGCTTTAGTATTGTAATCTTTCCATGGTTGAGAGAAACAGAATAAGAAAAGCCCTTTTGTTGTATTGAAATGTAAAAACACTGCATTTGTTGTGGTTTTGCATGTCTTTATGCATATCTAATAAAAAAAATTAATTAACACCTGAACTAAATAAAAATCGCCAAAAAAAATCGAAAATTAATATTTTTTTAATATCTAAACTAAAAAGTTCATTTTCGTTCATATATTTGTACCTATAAAAAAAGATAAGTAATACATATGCGAATTAATTCGATTAAATGTATATTATATTTCCATTACAACAGAAATTTGGAAACTTATTATAAACAACCAAACCACTATAATGTGTCATATAAAATATGTTGTGCTTGCCACGTATATTTAGATAGTAATCTTGTCAACTCAAACATAATATATACATATAAATATATCCATTTTAACCCAACCTGGGTAGTTCAACCGGTGAAACGGGGGCGCAAAGCGTCTGTCCTGCCCCGAGTTCGAATCCCAGATTGGGGAGGGAGCGCATAATTCAAAGCACATGGCTGGCTCCCGGTCCCGGGATTAGTCTGGGCCTCGGCCCAGGACACCCGGTTACCCAAAAAAAAATATATCCATTTAAATTATAAATAACACAAACAGACACACACGCACGCATATATATATATACATACATACATACATACATGTATGGGTGTCCTTTGTATTATATACTGATACAAAACATCGATGGTGTTTTATGTAAAATAATCATTTTGTACAAAGCTTTCATAAAATTGTTGACTTAAACATTTTCACGTTTTTATTAATTTAGGTATCGATAGATTTTTTTTAAAATAAAAATGAATAAATTATTAAATCACAAGAATAAAAGTAAAACATAGAATGATAAATATTATCAGAAATGTATAAAAAAGGAAAATTTTCCCCAAGAAGCATCCAAAGATTTTTCTTCTGAAATTTCTTCAAATACAACAAATACAGAGCTTGCGTCAACATTACAGAGAGAGAGAGAGAGAGAGAGAGAGAGAGAGAGAGAGAGAGAGAGAGAGAGAGGAGCCTACAACAACACAGGAACCAAACAAGTAAAAGACCAAAAAGAAACTGAGGAACCAAACAAGTAAAAGGCTAAAGAAAGAAACTGAGAATCTAAAAACAACCTTCAAGAGCTCCTCTCCTCTATTCTCATTTCCCCGTAATACAAAAACGAAACAACACTATTGTACAAAAGTCCTGCCCCAAAGCAAACAACTCTAACTCTTTTGGGGACCAAACACTATCTGCCTATATCCCCATTCCGCTTCCACGGCTCTTTACCCGCCCCGACGTTCCCGTTCCCATGCCATGCCATGTACTGCTCGGCTTTCACATAGTGCATTTTAATGGCAGCAACCGGATCTGAAACTCCCCCTGTAGGGTCTGCAGTTGTCATCCCTACCATTCCTTTTCCCGAGGCTGCCTCAAACCTATTCCGTCTCTGCACCTCGGAGAACACTCTGTCCCTCCCGAGAGAGAAGGGTTGTGTTCTATTACCGTCATGGTTCCTAAACATGTGAGAAACCAGAACCCTGTCACTACCATACGTTTCTCTCGCTGGATAAATCGAGACTCCGTTCAGGTTATGTTCATAATTCTTGGCGAGAGAATGTGATACCTGCTGCTCCTTCGCGGAAGAGGATGCAGAGTAGTTGGCAAAGGCTGCCGGGTACTTTGCCAACAAGATTGCTGAGTCGGGCAAAGATGATAACCCTGTCTGTATTCTGGTACCGTCCCAGAACCCGTAACTCCTGATTGGTACATTTTCATGCCCACTGTAATCAACTTTATCACGTCCCACATTAGCCGGCTGTCCATCTGCAGATTTCTGGACAGCAAAATTTAGGGTAGGTGGTTTACCACTTTGCTTGGAGTCAAGGCCCAAACCCTTACCTTCATTCTCATGTGGTGTAAGTATCTTGCCGAATAATTTAACATCACCATTCTTGCATGACTTATCCGTACCAGATTTCTGCTCCAGAGATAATACTTTCTGCTCATTTATCAGACCGTTACACTTCCGTAAAGAGAAACCTTGGGCAACACATTCATTACCGATTCCAGCATCTGATTTCAGATTCATCTGAACTTCACGAACCTGTCCCCAGTAAACATCAGAATCCATTTCTTTCTTTGTTGAAATACGCAATGCATGGTCACTGAGTATATGGGACGTAGGAACGTGTGGTGCTGCAACATTTTGGAGGTGGTGACATCGGCCAACAAATTCATGATCCGGCTTAGCCTTCTCAACATTAGTTGTCAAACTGACATCATTACCAGGTTTGTCGAGAGCTGCTAAAATGGCATGACCAGGTGACTCAAGCTTTACAGAAATAGTCGCCTGCTCTTGCAATGAAGGGATATGTAGCCTTCTTTGGACAGAAACTTGGGGTTGGCAATCGAAATTGTTGAAGCCCGAGAAAGAACTTGTATCTGCTTCCTGATTATTTGTTGCATTAGCATTATTCACAAGGCTATCTTGGACAAAATTACGGCCATCATGTTTTCCACATGCATCTTCGTTCAAATTAGTTATCGACATAACACTTTTATCTAGCACTGAATCCTCCTTCCTCGTCTCCATGGTGACCTTAACAATGTCACTTGCCGGTAACTCATCACTCAAAGAAGAGCAAGGTGCAAAAGATGCGACTGCACAAGAAGATGCATGGTATTGACTAGCTGAATCCATACTCTTCTCAGCATCAGTCGATAGCACAGTATCTTCCTGTGCCTGTTGATCAGGCTGAGCTTGGATCTTAACACAGTTTCCATTCACAGATTCATTGGCAACTCCATGGTGTCCCTGGTGTTTATCATCCACCCCAAACGTGTCCAGGTGAATACTTCTATCCAGAATTCCCCGTACATCCTCCACCTCAGACATATTCAGGTCAGTTTCCAATTTCACAGGGCCCAACAGACAAGCGTCCTGATTTATCTTGAAAGGAGAGCCTGATAAGTCCTCATCCCTCTTAGCATCCACAACATCATTGCAGATGGCTGAGCTAGTTCCCAAAACACAAGCATCTTCTGAGTCACTTCCATCACCATCTGCATCATCACTAACAGATGAACCAACATTTCTAGGCAAAAGTATCGAGTCCAATCCAAGACGCTTCCGAGCTTTACTAAAGAAAATCCTGCATTTTTCCCGGGACTTGGTTCTGATGCATCGCGATATGCTAGCGAAATCCTTACCATACAAAGACAAAGCATGCATAAACAAAGACCTTTCCTCATCAGTCCAATCACCAGAATCTGTTTCCCCACAGCTATCATCTGAGCATGTATCATCATTAGCAGTCTGCGTAATATCAGACACTGAACACCTCTTTCTGCTAGAATCCATTCTCTGGAACTTCCAGTCTCTGCAGATCTCCCCAGGATCAACACAACTAGTTATGCAAGAACTCATGGCCTCCGAAGACAATGAACCACAAAAACCAGCCAGGATATCAGCAGCAAAAGATTCTTTCTCAGGTAGATCAAAACTACTTGACCTTTCTATACAATCATCAGCTTGGGACATCTTTGACTCAATGCGCTTGCCCGAAGTGATCCTAACAGAAAATCTTGATCCAGAAGCAGTTTTGCAATCAGCATGAGCTGCCATAGCAGAAACTGCACCCAAAATATTGAGAGACACGGCATTCGTATCACGGTTCCACTTTTTGCTCGATGTTACCAAATAGGTATTAGCAGCACACTTCTCCTGCTTATTATTGCCACACTTTTTTATTTTCTTAAAGCAATCTGACTTGTGATTCTTGTAGTAAAACTCGATACAGTCTGCAGTGGTCTTGTGATCAAGAAAAGAAGCAATTCTTCTAAAATCCTTCCCATAGGTAGCAAACTTCTCCACAAAGATTTCTTCCTCTTCTTTGGTCCAAGGATTCATCCTAGCTCTTTCCTTTTCCACAGCACATGGATCTTCAATCAATCCATTTGTAGAGATAAACCTAGAAAAAATCTTCTCCTTATCTTCCAAAATTATTTCGGGCATTTTCAGAACATTTCTGTATGGTCTTTGTGGGGAGTTTGAAAGTATCTCACTTGTGAGGCTAACCATCTCAGGAAAGGAGATTTGGCACAAATTTCCTGTTGAGATAGGACATGAGACGGAAAAAGTAGTCAGTAATCAATAATCAACTTCGAGAAACATTACTGGTGACGGAAACACCAAGCAGACATAGGGATCCATAAAATGGACATAAAAACTAGTAACAAGTTATGTATGAAAAATGGAAAAAGTGTAACAGATTATATATCGTGCCACAGTTAGAATACTGTACCTGGTGAAGACAACCGTGAGCGACTGTGAGTACGGTTTTTTGTATAGCCTCCATTTATCATCCGCAAGCCAGAATCAACTTTTTTCTGGGATCTTGGACGGCATCTTCTCATTGATAACTGGTGCATGTCTTTTCTCCATGCATTTAGAAAGGCTTTAAACTTAATTGCCAAAACTTTCTCCTTAAATCGCATCATCCTTCTCCTAGCAGTAATTCTTTGTCTAACTAGGACACTATCTGGCGAGCCAACAATGTCAGATAAATCCAGAGCATTATCAGACCTAAAGTCTCCAGGCAATAACTTAATTAATACCTCAGATGCTTGCCTAGCAGATTCCTTATTACATAACATTATATTTTTACATTGTATATCATCTCCATCATCCGACCTGCTGCCACCAGAAGCAAGTTCGATGTTTTCACTATTTAGAGGTGCATTGACGTCATCATTACCAGCTAAACAGGATTCATTACAAGAGAGCAGTAGATCTTGAGACTGGTTTTTGATGGAATTCCCAGAATCTTCAACAAAAAACTCAAATTTTGAGACAAGCAAGCTGTTTGCCAAGGATAAAGGTTCAAGTAACTTGGATGTTGCAGTTCCTGGACTATCAAGATCTTCAGCCTTACCATTAGCAGGATGCTCTTCCAAACCACTGCAACCTGTTGGTGTTTTATCCACTACTTCATCAGCAGAGCAAGTGAGTTGCAAAGGAGCAGGTCGAAGGATGAAAGTAGAAACAGCTTCTAGCTCCTTAGATAAATTTGTATTGACATCAACAGCTAGCGAGCTTGATGAAGCTGGGCAAAGGCTGAAATCGCCAGATTCTGATTTTATCCTTTTAAGTTCATTCTCAAGCAAATCAATTTCAGACTCAGCCACCTCCAATGTCTTTAAAACATCACCTTTCCAGAAAAGCAATCTGCTCATTGCAGTAGAGCTCGCGAAGCAACAATCTACTGAACCAGGATCAGCCAAGTGAAGCAACCAATTCAAAGAAGAAGACAAATTAGCCATTGAAACGTCATCCAAATTTTCTAAGTTGAAAGAGAAACCCTCAAGTTGGTTCCAAACTCCCAGACTAGGTAAACCAGACATGTTATTGGGCTCACTGTTAGCATTAGCTGCCTTTCTATACAAGTTGTCATCTGCACCTGAAATGATTTAAAAGTAATTTTATTAATTATTTATAATGACATATGTGTGTGTGTGTGTGTGTGAATAAGATGGCAAAACGAGAAACAAATGAAAAAGTGCTTTATCAAAATTTATTGCCATGTTATGTCACTGATAATGCATAAGACGCCCTACTCATGCTTACACAGGAAAAGAGGGATGAAATGGGACTAACATAAGAATAACGGCAATCAAACAAAATGATAGCAAGGCCTATCTTCTATTGTAATAGAAATAAAAGATTACCGCAATCATAGAAACCTGATAGCCAGGCCAAAAAATAAAAAATAAAAAGGTAATTACTTGGTGAGGAACTGCAAGCAATAGAGGAAGGAGTTGCCGGAGATGCACAGTCTGTAAATCCCAGAATTCTGGGGCTCTTATCAACCAAACTTGAAACAAGCGAAGGTGCAGCTTCTGAACTATTAGTGGATAATGTAGGTCCATCCTTCTGTACATTCACATCAGGACCATCAACTTTTCGTTTCTCATACTTAGCCAGTCCCTCACCCCAACCAAGTCGAGGTTTCTTTCTGGAAATAGCCTCATCTGATGAAACGGCAGATGCTACACATGGAGTAGCATTTCCAGGAGGTGACTGAAGAAGAGTGGCACTACTACGCAGATTCTCATCCTTCATCTCACTAGAATCTACAGCCCCTAAACTTTTTGAACTGCTCGAATTGCTAAACCCTGAACTTCTTGAACACAAACTTCCAGAACGGGTCCATTTCAAAGGCTTCCAGTCCACTGAGCTCAGAGATGTTTCTAACTCACACTTTTGTCCTGCGTTCAATCCATTGTTGCCACTGACTTTGTTATCTTGCTTGTCTCTGAATTGATCCCATGTTTTCATTGTGTCAGACTGAGAGGCAGGACAAGGAGGTATGTTCTCGGCCAATCTTTGATCAGTGATCATATCAAAAGGTCTGCCAAATGCATTTGTTGCACCGTTATTTGCAACCCAAGCATGGGGTTTCCAGTCTCTCTGCACAAAAGAACCCCTATTATCCCTAATGTTTCGGCAGTGCCTAAAATCTCCTCGTGAGACTGATGACTGATATGTCACATTCCCAAATGTCCGGCCACCTGAACGAGAGGCTGCACACCCATGACTAGATGTTTCTTCAAACTGTTCCCAGCTGCCCTGCTTACCACTATCTGGACATAACACAAGAAACCACAATTTCGAGGAGAATCTTAGGGACATTCGCACAAGCACATAATCTCAATCAGCATGCATGATATTCTAAGAAACTATTGCAAAGTCCAGTATAACTTTGATTGAATAAAAAAGCTACAGACAGATAGAAAAATAAAAGTTTCCTGCTTCCGCAATATCTATAGAATCCTCAGATCTATGAACATCTACAGGAACCCATTCCCATTTCATATCAGACCAAACATAAACCTATGTCTAGTTGCCCATATTGGACAGCAAGTAGATGATTGAAACGGTAATGGAGAAAAGTAAGAGGAACCCAAAGCTTTTAAGGAACTTACAAGGAGGTCTACGGAAATCGGGAGATCCCCAACGAGGGAAGTCACGTGACCCGTAATGAGGTGAATACGACGCTGCGGATGAGTTTCTCCATCTAGGGTTGGAACCGAACGACTCAGGCCTCTCGTGCTTCTTCTCCCTGAAGTCGTCCTTCCGATCCCAAGGCAGTGATTCAGGCGGCATCAAACTTTTCAATCCAATCACGTGGGCATCCCCAACGCGCTCCGGGTACAAAAACCCAGTTGGCCCTATGCCCAATGCTTTCTCCCAAATCCAGATACAGCCGCCAGTCAAATTCACCTCCTCTATGAGTAAAAAAAACCCAACGAATCGCTAAAACCAGAGCCAATCCTTCGGAAATAAACTAAGAAAACTAAATAAGAGAGATTTCGAATCCTAGGTTTTCACCAACTCATACGCAATCAACGCCGCGACAATTCTGTGGTGCTCAACGATGTAGAAACCACGAAAAAACAGAAGAATCTAAAGGAAACCGTCGTCGGAACCTACGACGGCCAGAGCAGTGACAGATCTGAGTCAGTTCGCCAGGATCGAAGAAGATAACCCACGGAAATAAGCAGAACGACTATCGGCGGAAGAGGATCGATGATCGGCGTATTGGAATTTTCCTTCTCAAGGTAAAAGGGAAAAGAGAGAGATTTTCTAGCGTTTTCTCGGTCTTAGACTCTTAGGGTTGTTTGCAGGGAAATCTGCTACTGCGAGCCAAGGTGAGACGATAAGGAACAAGGGGAACCCAGAGAGAGAATGACGAGGAGAGAGAATGGAGACTTATTCCGGACCTCAACGGCTCATTGAACTATATTTCGATCCAACTTTCGCGTCCGAGAAAAAGCAATAATTTTTCCATTTTTGTTATACAGAAATATGATATAATATTGAAATTATATATATGTCTTATCTGTACTTTTTCGACAATTTGCCTTTGCCTTTTTATTTCCCCACCTAGTGTCTCTTTTTACTTCGGATCCGAAATTGCCCTTAGTTTCTGTGATATTTACAACGAGTCGGCTAAAAATGACGTCATTTAATTTTATTTGACGAAAAATAAATTAGCGAAGGTAGTATTCGGACAGGAATTTTAAGGACAATATTTTTAAATGGCAGAAAAATGAATAATTTAAAGGTTTTGTTGCTGGTTTCTGAAAACCACTCTTTGACTTTATTGGTTTTTTCTTTTCCTGTAAGGAAAAAATCCTTCCCATCCTTTGAATATTTTTTTTGGCTAACCAAGAGGTATCCATGATTCCGTCCACTGGATTCGTACTCAACATTTAATCATGTAATTAATTATTTTTTTTATATATATAATTAAACCGATCATCTTGAATACATGATGTTTTACGACTCGACCACCTCATACGTCTACTCTGTTCTTTGAATATTATTTTCGATATAACCAAATTTTGTGTCGTAAATGAAAAATTTACTAAATTAATTAATTGTGATTAGTTAAGAAATAAGTATATAATTTATATTTTTAATAAAGATAATAACAACTAATTCTTAATATTACTATGATTTCTAAATCTTTTTTTTTAGATCTTTTTCTAAATTTCTATTATAAAAAATCATTTATAAAAAGGTCAATGCGTGTGATATATACCAAGAAAAAAAAACTTTGTAAATTATTTTTTTATCTAAATTCAAAGACTACTTCAAGCAAGATTAAAAATCTAAATCAAAATATAGAATTGTACTTGATATTTATATTAGAGACAAATATAAAAGCTAAAGAAATTTGGATAGATTCAAACTGATTGATGGCGAAGGAATTATGGAGGAGAAATTAAAACATTGATTATTGCTTTAGAGGAAGAAAATCAAATTCTGTACATTAACTAGAATATTACAGAAAAGTGTAAAAGTGTGAATCCAGAGAAAATTGTATGTAATATACAGAACACGCTTTCAGTCCAACTATATCAACCATAAATCAAAAAATATCTTTATTATAATTAAATTGCATCTTTCCTCCTCAACAGTTTAGAAAATACGAATTTGTTATACTATGGAGATATTAAATTTCATTGCCATAAGATTTTATTTATGTAATGGTAAGAACTAAGAAGTATTAAACAAATAAATTTACCGTGTTCCGTATTTGTAATGAATTTGCAATGAAATTCGTGTGTGTTTTCGATGTTTTAAAATTGTTTTTGTTGAAAAACATTATAAATTTATTGAGCGACCAAATTGCCTTGTGGAAACATGTAAGGGTATGCATAAGAAACGTTTTTCAATCTATTGGGTTTGAGTTCAATGTTGGTAGATGTCGATGTGCATATTCAGAAATATGTAAAAGGGTATTACGCATAACAGCATTCATCATCGTCGGCCCCCTAACACTCAAATTCAGCTAATATTTTTGTTTAATTCCACAATCAGAAAATATTACACTTGATTGCACTTGTGATAATAGTCCTCGGGGAACAAATTTTATATTTTTTATTAAGGTTAATGATTATTAATTAACGTGATAATGATACGGTCAGTCAATGGCGTTTTTTGACATGTTGCAAAATGAAATAAAATCATACCATCATCATTTAATAGGACAAATTTATGATAATGGATCAGTTCAGTGCTTCCTTGCCTGTTCTCCCACAAAGACTGCGCTGAAAGCGTGCCACGTGGACCAATAGTTCTCCTCCATCTTTTGGTTTTGACAACAATAGATCGAGTAACGTTTCCAACTGTTTCGGAGTATCCTTCGTCTTCACATTCACATGTCCACTCGGTCGTGAGTTCGGTGAATTTAGATTATACAATATATATATATATATTGTTAACTTACAGCGAGTTTTTACCCAAAAAAAAAGGTATTGAACTTTCAGCGAGTTGCAGTGTTGCACGTTCTCTGGGGGAATACGCCATGTGCAAGTGCCGGGCCTACCATCTGTTCGGTCAATTGCCCAAGTGAGAGATTCAGGCGTTGCCGGTGCTGAAACATGATGATTTTCTTCTTGATTATCTACCATTTCTTTTAACCCAAATCTGAGTTCTTAATTGTATAAAAATGCCCACATGATTGTCTTATTCCAGCTTATTTTGTTTTTGCATGGATTTTGATGCTTTCGGCTACACAGCTATTCACATCCCATCTCCACAGCTCATCAATCATACTGTTTTGGTAACATGTACGGAGTATTTTTCCCACTGAAACCTGTATAAAGCTTGAAACTTTCTGCCCATTCTCACTCTTACCTGGTCAAGGTAAATCTCTACCTAAACCTCGTCACTTTTTGGGATCTGGGTTTCCCTCTTCACATCTGATCTTTCTGTAATATGCTCTGAATCTGCAGCATAAAGCTCTCTCTTTCAGATTGTTGTCTGTGAATCTTCTCTGGTCGTCTCTTGGGTATTTGCTCTTTTAATCTTGAATTGTTCCTATAGAGAAATTAATCTTCTCTGCAAATCTTTTCCTAGGCTTTAGCTTCTGGGTTTTGATTGAAACCTCTTGGTTCATGGATCGGTTCCTTCTTGTTCTTGCTTTTATTTCTCCCCTTTTGCTCTGTTCTTGTTTTGCATCTTATTTGGAAGATCAAAAGAGAGACAGAATCAGAGAGTTACCTGGGCAACCACGAAATGTTAGTTTCTCTCAGTATTCAGGGTATGTCACAGTGAATGAACAAAGAGGAAGGGCCTTATTCTATTGGCTGACTGAGTCACCAGTGAACCGAGTGCCCAAGGCAAGGCCTCTGGTTCTGTGGCTCAATGGAGGTCCTGGTTGCTCTTCAGTTGCTTATGGTGCAGCGGAAGAGATTGGACCGTTTCGTATTAGGCCTGATGGGAAGAGCCTTTATTTGAATCCTTATGCTTGGAATAAATGTAGGTTGATTGAAATGTACATTGTTAGTACACTTGGTTTGTGGATTTGACAATTTGGTTTATGTTCGCGTTTTCTCAATGTTTTTTTCCCAGTGGCAAACCTGCTTTTCCTTGAGTCTCCAGCTGGAGTCGGTTTCTCGTATACAAATACCACTTCAGATCTGTACACGACGGGTGATGAGAGAACTGGTAATATGAATCTTGATTTTGATCTTTGAATCCGATTCTGATACATGTGAATGTGATCTCTAAATCTTGATGTTTCGAGCTATGAGTTTATTATGTATTTGACACGTTTATGATTTTCGTGTTCTTTTGCTTCGTTGATGTCTTTGATATGCAGCCGAAGATGCATACACGTTTCTTGTCAAGTGGTTTGAAAGGTTTCCGCAATACAAGCACAGGGATCTTTACATTGTGGGAGAAAGCTATGCAGGTTCATGTTGCTTCTTATCTCTGATCATTTCATGTTTCAGTGGATGCTTAATCTCACAAGAGTTTAATCCTTTCCTGTCTGAATTATCTGGCAGGCCACTTTGTTCCTCAGTTGTCTAAACTTGTCTACGAAAGAAATAAGGGCATCAGCAATCCGGTTCTAAACTTGAAAGGTTTTATGGTAAGAACGACATCGTAAGGTTTTTTTTCTAGCATCAAAGCTTTTGCGAGATTGTTTTCATGGGCAATCTTTTAAGCTTTAATTGTCAGGTGGGAAATGCTGTTACAGACGACTACCATGATTTTGTCGGCACATTTGAATATTGGTGGTCGCATGGTCTGATATCTGATTCCACTTATCGCAAACTAAGGATTGCGTGCTACTCTGTACCATCTCAGCATCCTTCATTGCAATGCATGGAAGCCCTTAGAACTGCAGAACTTGAACAAGGAAACATCGATCCCTATAGCATTTTCACTCGGCCTTGCAATAATACCGTAACACTCAAGCGCTTCTTAATGGGTCGATATGTACGTTAATATCAATTTTGATGTTCCTTTTTTTCTTTTTTTTCGAATCCTCCAAGGATTTGTTATTGTTTTACTTTTCCATACAATGAACTCTTTTGCTGGCTGAAGTTATTGTCTTGTTCTTGAAACTCAGCCATGGATGTCTCGAGCCTATGATCCTTGCACGGAGAGATATTCTAATTCGTACTTCAACCGTCCAAATGTTCAGAAGGCTCTCCATGCTAACGTTACTAGGTTGCCTTACCCGTGGAAAGCGTGCAGGTAATCAAGTTTGCACAATCTTTGTTAGATCCTCTCCATGTTTTTTTGGTTCTGGTTGAAATTAGAGTTTCTTTCTCTTGCAGTGACATTGTAGGAAGCTATTGGACAGATTCTCCGGTTTCTATGCTCCCTATATACAAGGAACTGATTGCTGCTGGTGTCAAAATCTGGGTTTTCAGGTACCGATTTCTCTTGATTTTCTTTGTTTCTGTTATATGGCGTCTGTAACATTTTAGAATTACTTGGAAATGCCACCATTTATATAAGCTGTCTGCATTTGGCTGCGGAAATTCCTGATTCGGGAACGAACTCTCGCTTAGTTTCTGTTTCGATGTCCCCTTAGGAGCCAGTGATGCATAGGCATTGGTGAATGAGAGTATTAAACATTATACAGTTTCAAGTTAATCAGATCTTCTCTTTTAATGCAAAGTCATCCAATATCTTCTCTGATGAAAAGTTTGTCTGCATGGATTTGGTAATCAGATTGCTGCATTTGGTTTCTAGATCATATGGCATTGATTGTCTTTCTGTAAAATTTTATCAAAGTTTAACAGAATTTGACCGGCGATTAGTTGCATCTCTGAATCGACAGAGCCAGATGCTGCAGAATAAAGTGCTCATGTTGTTAGTTTCCTTAGAATCTAATACATACAGAGGATGAATTCCACATGCCGTGTTATTTTCACGAATGTGAAAAAGAGTATATGACTGCAACCCGAACCCGCTTCATATTGTGCAGCGGAGATACTGATGCGGTGGTTCCCGTAACCGCAACCCGCTACTCTATAAATGCACTTAAGCTGCCAACCATCACCAACTGGTACCCTTGGTATGATCAAGGAAAGGTATAAACTTCTTCTTCTCCTTTCAATGCAGCATTCGGGAAAAAAACCCTCGGTTACTGCTCATCTTAACTGACCAACCTTCTTGATTTCGACGATCATTTTCAGGTGGGGGGTTGGAGCCAAGTGTACAAAGGGCTAACATTCGTGAGCGTGGCCGGTGCAGGGCATGAGGTCCCGCTACACCGCCCTCGTCAAGCCTTCATTCTTTTCAGATCTTTCCTCGAGGATAAACCGATGCCAGTGAACTGATCCATGGCAGATACAAACAAAAAAGGGAAGCCATAGTCCTTACAATATTCATTCTTCTCAATGAATAAGGAAAAGTTTCATGAAAGCGTTTGCGTATGGATTCTGCATTCATTCATTCCCCCGTCAACATGTAGTAATGTTGTGATTCTACAAATATTCAGATTTTTTTTCTTTCTTTCTTCTGTATTATTTATATTTTGAATCCATATTCGACGGTTTTGTATTGTATCTCTGTATGTCACTGTTTATATTTCTTTTGGGGTTACTTTTTAATAATAACTCTACCTGTTTGGTTCACTATTGACATGTTAATCGAAAAAAAAATATTTATATTTGAAGGAGAAAAAAGTCTTGAAATCCACAAAATCGATTATAAAGCCTCGATCCGGATTCTATAAACTGGAAACTGAAAATTTCTCCCAAAAAAAAAAAAACCAACAACTCCTAAAAAATCTTAGAAAAAATAATTAGACAAAACAAATACACCAAATATTCTAATCGACCCGATAAAACCATTGACAATTTTTTGAACAAATATAACATCATAATGGAACGGATTTCGGGTTTGATTGAAAATTATCTCGGGCATTCGACTTTCGGGTAATCGGCTAAACGAATCCGAAATCGGACAAAATAAACTGTCAGATCCTAAATATTCGAATTTGAGATAATCCAATATTTCGAATACCCTCCCATTACCCACAAGGAGCCAAATATTTTGTAGAAGTTATCCCAACGAATTAATTAATTGATATTTGGATCAAATTGTGAAGAATCCATGCCCTAGATTATTATTAGACTTTACTTTAAAAATCGAAACCCAACTCCCGAAAGAAATACCCGATTACTATTTGGAAAGATAGCGTGAATCTTGGAATCTCAGTCCAAGGAATTTAGCTTGTTCGTCTATAGATATAGATTCAGATCTATATATATGTATATATATACACACATGTACGCACGAAGCTCCTCAGTCCCCGAAACCCTAACGAGAATATGGCGAAAGCTACAGAACAAGTTTCGTCCTCAGTAGCCAATGTCCGACTCTTCACATGGAATTGCATACTCCACGACGCCACATATCGAATGCAAAAAGATGATACAGTTATCCTCGCGTTCAGGATGAATGATCATGATCATGATCGTGATGATCCCGCAAACGAAGAACCGTCATCATCATCATCATCATCATCGGGAGTAGCCGATTCCTTTGAAACTTACGTCACAGACTTCGCAAATTTCTCAGATTACGACAGGGTATTCGCCGTGATCAAACTCGCTTTACGATCAAAGGCTTCGTTCCGTGGCAAAACTCTTCACGAGCTGACGTGTCAGATTTTCCAACACCTGAGCTGCAATTTCCATGTCAGTTGCCTGAGATTTGAGGAGTCAACTTCTCCTCTCGTTGTCTTGGTCGACATCAACCGGAGATTCCAAGAAGGGCAAGAGCTATGTTCCAGTTCTTGTTTTTCACAAGACCAAGGTATAGCAATAGCAATACAACACTTAACACTAGTGTCGTGTTAGGGTTTTATTACCCACAGCAATTTAGGGTTTGAGAGTAAGCATTACTTTTCAAAGAATTACAAAAAAAAAGGTGTTATTTTGGCAAATCTTTTAAAATTTTGGGTATGATAACTAATCTAACACCATCTATTTCTCTTTTTTGTCGTTATAAAAATGTGTTATTTGATTTGACGATTTAGGGTATGATCTATGATCCAATACGACCGAATGGTTTTTGGTTGAGAATGGTAGACGTGTCGTTATCTCAAATCCTAACGTTGGGGAAGATATGTGCAATTTAATTATGGTATAAAGGTGATCTCCACGCCTTGGAATATATAGTTAGAATGTAGTTAGATCAAAGGTTCGGGGAACTTCATCTAAATCTAACACAATGCATCTATTTTTCTATGCTTATCACGCAGACCACATCGTAAAGAGTCTAAGAGAGTCCCTAAAGGCTAGAAAGATTTTCGCAAAGGGAATCAAATCATCCGAATTGGAAGAAGTGCGGTCCGAGACGATTTCGGAGATAATAGTCGGACATCGGAACGAAGAAGAAGGAGATTCGTGCAGCATATGCCTGGAAGGATATCCAAAGGAAGGGCAAGTAGCGTTTAGGACAGTTTGCAATCACATATTCCACGGAGATTGCATCATGCGGTCGTGTATGAGCCGCAGGGGTACCTGCCCTCTGTGTCGAGCGACGTTGCCCATCGTTTGCGTTTTTCATGGCTTCAAATTCACTCACGAAGATCTTGATTTGCTTTATCTTCAATGATTCACGGTGGGAACTGTGATGTCCAAAAGTGCAATGGAGAAGAAGCCCGAGAGAGAAGTCTCAATCTGAAATTTTCATTGTTTGAAATCAATTTAGGGTTCATAGAAAGCGGCTTGTTTCATTGAAATTCGATTTTAATGAACCGGTTCGGGTTTCCGGTTCGTTCAAAACCAAATTTTTATTTTTTGTCGACGTGACACTTTATTTATTTACTCACTTGATTTAATATGATTTTGAATAGTTCAGATATTATTTTTTGTACACTTTAAATCGTTTAATGTTTTTTTTTTCAAGAAAGGTTTACATTTTGATTGTCATAATTGAAAAAATTGAGATTTTTTTTTATTTTCTAATAATAATATTTTGTTTTCGATAAAATAAAAAATATTAGACAATAAAAATATATATTACGATAACTTTATTCAATAACGATAAGAAAGGAAACATAGTTTTCCTTTAACTCAAGTTCGAATTTTCGTTTAGAAAAAATATTTCCATGGATTTCTTCGATATTTTGGAAGATATAGTTGGATAAAAAAGCCGATCATATTTCAAAAACCTAAATATTCAGATCGGCTTAGGCCACAAGCAGATATGTGGACCCATCGTCCCAAAAAAAAAAAAAGCATATCTCAGAAAGAAGATGCAACGATCGACTTATTATTATTCTTTGCTTGCTTGGCTTACCCCATTTCCTTCTCATATTATTCTCCACTATCCTTTTGGAGCCCATATGCAATTATGCACTCAGATATTTATTATACAAAATAGAAATGGGAATATAAAAACGTATGAAATCGAATGTTTTTTTTTTTGTAATAACTTCAACGTAAAGAACTACATGGCTTTGTATAGTATTTTTTTTAGATTGAATAAACTACGTTCGACATCAAAAGTTTCGTTAAATAATGATAAAAAAAAAAAGATTAATATGTTAGCCCGACCGAATTGATTCAGATTCGATCTGTCATAAAAAAACCAAAAAAAAATGCAAGATCGTAACTGATTAATACGCTATTTAGCATAATTCACTGACTGATGAGTTGAATAATAAGTTTATGTCTCTTGATACATATAGGTCGTAAATTATCTAATGATAAGAGAATATGCAAATTATATTCTTATTTCAAATTCAAATTCAAACGTGGAGACAAATATTTATTCGAATTTTTCGTTTCTTTTGATGGATATAGTTAGAGTAAAGAGCATAGATGAATTCTTGCATTATTAAAAAACTATTCAAAGTTACGAATCGAAAAACAAAACTCGAAGAGATGGTCCAATCGTCCGCTTTCTATTATTTATTATTTTTTCTTTTTTAATTCTCCTCATGCAATTCTTTAAAACCCTTAAGACACGGAAAAAACTAAGCCCCGGATGGCCAAAAGCAATCCATTGAGTCTAAATCTCTCGCCTTAAATAATTCCAAGTGGAATAGGGGAAAAGTGGTTTTAGGTAATAAAGCCGACGATCCATATTGCAAGAAAGGAAGCAAAAGCTATATATTCATATATATATATATATATATATATATATATATATATATATATATATATATAAGAGAGAATATAATATATGTAGATAAAGACGCATCTTTCCTTAGTCTAGTTTCTTGATGTCTCTAGTTCATATCTTGTATCCTCGCGTCTACTTGGTTGGTATATAGCTTCTTTATGTTCTTGGCATAGTTTCTTGATCGTCGCCACTAGAACTCTCCGGAGTTTGCAAGAAATTACCGAACACCGAATCGAACCTACGGAGATATATATGTACCGATTCAGCAACACAGTGATCGGCGTCCTGAACCTCCTGACGTTGCTGGCCTCCATTCCGATCATAGGGACGGGTCTATGGATGGCGAGAAGCAGCACGACGTGCGAGAACTTCCTCCAGACGCCTCTCCTCGTCGTGGGGTTCATCATACTGATCGTGTCTCTCGCGGGTTTCATAGGGGCGTGCTTCAACGTGGCGTGGGCCCTGTGGGTGTACCTCGTGGTCATGATCTTCCTCATCGCGGCCCTGATGGGCCTGACGGTGTTCGGACTGGTCGTGACGGGCCAAGGCGGCGGACGAGAGGTGACTGGGAGGGCGTACAAAGAGTACAGGATCCAAGACTATCACCCAGTGAGAGATCCTGAGTATTGGGACACTGTCAGGAGCTGTATCTTGGGGTCCAAGACATGCGCCAAGATTGCTTCTTGGACCACGCTCGACTATTTCCAACGTGACATGAGTCCGGTTCAGGTACGTATACTTGACCTTGTTCTAGTTATGTTCTAAACTTTGCAAAACCGACAGTGTTTAGTTTATGTAAATATAATCGCTTAGATTAGGAAGATATTATCAGTTAAATACAAATTGCTTGTTTATACCATATTGTACAACAAACAGGTCACCGGTTTGGCTCGGTCCGATCCGAATCATTACAATATCAAAACTTTTTAGTCGATTGTGCTCACAAATAAAAAATAATTTTTTTAAAAAACTAATAAATATAATAAAAAAAAAAAAATTGCAACCCGCGAGCCAACTCTGGATCGCGAGGAGCTGGTTCGCGTTTAAACGAGACAAGAAAACCTCCCACTCGATTCGCCTGAAAATGAACCGGTCGTGAGCTTGGGTCACGAGCGATGAGTCGTTTTACAGCCCTAACGAAGAGAAAAACGTGCGGATGCAGTCGGGGTGCTGTAAGCCACCGACGGCGTGCGCGTACGAGACGGGAGTGGTGGTGGCGGGCGACCAGGATTGCTACAGGTGGAACATGGGGGCGGGAATGCTGTGTTACGAGTGCGAGTCGTGCAAGGCTGGGGTCCTGGAGGAGATACGGAGGGACTGGAGAAAGTTGTCGGTGGTGGACATCCTCGTCCTCGTCCTCCTCATCGCCGTC